TTTTTTTGTTGCTAATATACATTGTTAATATATAGTACTAGCATAGAAGCACAGTAATTTTCATAAGACTTTTATTCCGCTACATTGTTAAACTTACTCATAGGATTTACTGTGTATACAGTCATGTCAGTAAATAAAGACACACTGTTGAATAGAAGTAGTGAGTGCAGAAATGCTTGCCTTGTTTCCAATATTGAGGAAACAAGTAAAATCTTTATTAAACATATTAGCTATAAAATTTTTGTAGGTGCTCTTTATCTGGTTGAGAAACCATCTTTCTCTTGAATTGAGAAGTGTTTCTTCCCAGACCCCTCTTTTTTACTTTCTAAAGGAGTTAGTGTAAGAATTATATTATTCCTTCCTGAAATATTTGGAACAAATTAATCAGAGTGAAACAACTTAAGGGTCGGAATGTCCTATGTAGGAGAATTTCAAAATTGAGAATTCAATTTTTAGTAGAGGAAGTGCTCTGAAGATTCTATGTTACTTCCTGGATCTGTTTTCATAATTTTTGCTTTTGCAATAACTTGTTCATTTTATCTAAATTGTAAAATTCATTGGTATTAGATTGTTAATAATCCTCTTACTGTCCTATTAATATCTATAGTGATGTCCCACTTTTTATTCTTTCTATTGTTAATTTTTCATTTCTTTTTTTATCCTGAGCCTAGCTAATTTTTAAAATCAATTTTATTGATTTTTTCAGACCTTATATTAATTTTAATTTTCACTCTTAATTGTTCATTTGCTATTTCACTTACTTCTGTTATCTCTATTATTGCATTCTTTCTTTCTGCCTTAGATTTTAAGAAATTGTCCTTTTATCATAATAAAATATGCCTCTTTACCTATATAATATTTCTTCTCTAGTATTCTACCTGGTCAGCTATTAATACTGTGTAGCTAATCCAGATTTATTATGTTTAGTATTTGTGGAGTATATCTTCTTTTACTTTTAACCTGTCTTCTATGCCTTTATATTTAAAGTGTGTTTCTGGCAGACAGCTTATAGATAAGTTTGCTTTGTAGCAAATTTGACAATTTCTGTCCTTTAATTGGTGTGTTTATTCCATTTACATTTAATGTAATCATTTATATGGTTGATTTAAAATCTGCTCTTTTGTCTTCTATTTCTGCCATGTTTTTTCCTCTGTTTTTCTCTTTCTTATGTATTAATATTGACAGTACATCATGCATTAATAATGATTAATAATAACCATCTTATGTATTAATAAATATCCAGTATTCTATCTTTATATTTCTTTTTTGTATTGGTTTCTTCAATATTTAACTTATTGCAGTTTATCTTCATATAATATTACTTCATGTATAATGTTAGAATCTTACAACAAAATGCTTCCATTTTCTCTTATCATATGTGTTGCAATTGTCCTATATTTTATCCTCTATTTGCTTCATGCTCCATAATACATTGTATTATTTTTGTTTTAACAGATCATAGTATTGTTTAAAAGTTTGAAAATAAGAAAAAAGTTTTAAATTTTAATTTCTGACCCTGTAAAATTCCTAGAAAAAAACATAGAGGAAAGCTTTTTGACGTCGGCTTTGGCAATAATCTCTTGGATATGACACTAAAGTCACAGGCAACAAAAGCAGAAGTAGACAGGTGGGATTAAATCAACTAAAATCATTCTGTGCAACAAAGGAAACAAGAAAATGAAAAGGCAACCTATGGAATGGAGGAAAATATTTGCCAACCAAATATCTGTTAAAGAGTGTATTCGTCCATTTTGAATTGCTATAAAGGAATGCCTAACGCTGGATAGTTTATTAAAAAGAAGTTTATTTGGCTCACAGTTCTCAAGAATGTGGGAAGCCAGAAGCCAGCGTCTGCTTCTGGTGAGGACCTCAGGAGTTTTTATGCATGGCATAAGGCAAAGGGGAGCTGGTGTGTCACAAAGTGAGAGAGGAAGCAAGAGAGAGAGGAAGCAAGAGAGAGAGGAAGAGGTGCCATGCTCTTTTAAATAGCCAGCTCTTACCTGAGCTAATAGAGTGAGAACTCACTAATTACTGGGAAGACAGCACTAAGCCGTCTTCCCCTATAGAGGAATCTGCCCCTATGACCTAAACACCTTTCACCAGGATCCATCTCCACCATTTTAACATCATATTTGGAGGGAACAAACTTCCAAACTATATCGTTCTTCCCCAGGGCCCACAAATCTTATGTTCTTGCTACTTTGAAAAATACAGTCAGTCCTTCTCAATAGTTCCCCCAAAATCTTTTTTTTTGAGACGAAGTTTTGCTCTTGTTACCCAGGCTGGAGTGCAATGGCGCGATCTCAGCTCACTGCAACCTCTGCCTCCTGGGTTCAAGCAATTCTCCTGCCTCAGCCTCCTGAGTAGCTGGGATTACAGGCACACGCCACCATGCCCAGCTAATTTTTTGATTTTTAGTAGAGACGGGGTTTTACCATGTTGACCAGGATGGTCTCGATCTCTTGACCTCGTGATCCACCCACCTCGGCCTCCCAAAGTGCTGGGATTACAGGCTTGAGCCACCACACCCGGCCCAAAGTCTTAACTTGTTTCATCATCGACCCCAAAGTCTAAAGTCTTCTCTGACACTGAAAGCAAGTTCCTTCTACCTATGAGACTGTAAAATAAAATAAAATTAAAAAAAACAAGTTATTTATTTCCAAGATACAACACTGATTTAGACATTGGGTAAATGTTCACATTCCAAAAGAGATAAATCAGCCAAAAGAAAGGAGCAAAAGGCCCCATGCAAGTCTGAAGCCCAGAAGTGCAGACATTAAATCTTAAAGTTTCAAAATAACCATTGACTTCATGTCCTGCATCCCAGGCACATTGATGTGAAAGATAGGCTCCCAAGGCCTTGGGTAGTCCCACCCTTGTGACTGCAGAGTGCAGCCCCATGGCTGCTTTCACAGGAAGGAGTTTGGTGCCTGTGTTTTTTCTCTGCTGAGAGTGCATCTATACAATTCTGGGGTTTTGAGGATAGTGCCCTATTCTCAAAGTTCCACTTGGCAGTGCCCCAGTCAGGACTCTGTATAGGGCCTACATCTCCAAATTTCCCCTCAGCACTACCCTAGTAGTAGAGGCTCTCTGCATGGATTCCACCCTAGTGGCAGGCTTCTACTTGGGCACCCAGGTTTTCCCATACATCCTCTGAAATCTGAGTAGAAGCTGTTAAGCCTTCTTCACTCTTGCATTGTGCACACCTGCAGGCTAACATCATGTGGAAGCCAACAAGGCTTACAGCTTGCACTTTCCAGAGTGACAGGCCAAACTGTACCTTGGGCCCTTTGAGCTCTGGCTGGAGCCAGAGTGGCCCAAATGTGGGAGCAGCATCCTGAGCCTGCTCCACAAAACCAGTATGTCCTTGTGGGCTTCTGGCCTGTGATGGAAGAAACTGCCTTGAAGGTTTCTGAAATTCCTTGAAGGCTTTTCCCATGGTCTTGGTTTTTAGAACTTTGCACTATTTTAATCATAAAATCTCCCTAGCAAGTGGTTGCTCCATAGCCTGCATGTATTTCTGTCCTGAAAATGCTTTTTCCTTCTATACCACATAACCAGGCTGCATATTTTCCAACTTTTTCCTCTGCTTCAGTTAAGTTCCAATTTTAAGTTATTCCTTTCTTTGCTTCCACATCTGACTGTAGTATGTTAGAAGCAGCCACATCACATTTTAAATATGTTGCTGCTTAAAAATTTCTCCATCAGAACTTGAGTCATTCTTGAGTTCAGACTTCCACAAATCCCTAGGACATGAACAAAATGCTACCAAGTCCTTTGCTAGGGTATAACAAGGGTGACTTTTATTCCAGTTTCCAATAAATTCTTTTTATTTCAATTTGGGACGTCATCAGCCTGGCCTTCACTGTTCATATTTCTATCAGCATTTTGGTCATAACCTCTTAACAAGTCTCTCAGAAATCCTAATTTTCCCCTCATCTTCCAGTCTTCTTCAAAAACTTCCAATCTCTTTCAACTTCTGCCTGGTATGCAGTTCCAAAGGAGCTTCCCCACTTTAGGTATCTTCATAGCAACCCCCCTCCTGGTACCAATTTTCTGTATTAGTCTGTTTTACATTGTTCTAAAAAAATACCTGCGACTGAGTAATTCATAAAGAAAAGAGGTTTATTTGGCTCACAGTTCTGAAGACTGTGCAGGAAGCATGGTACCAACATCTGCTTCATGCTTCATCTGTTACATGGTAAGAGGCAAAGCAAGAGAGAGGAAGGGGTGCCATACTCTTTTAAACAACTAGCTCTCATCTGAACTGATAGAGTGAGAACTCACCCATTACCATGAGAATGAGAAGAACACCAAGCCATTTATAAGGTATCCTCTCCATGATCAAAACACCTCCCACCAGGCCCCAATTCCAACATTGGGGAACACATTTAAACATGAGATTTCGACAGGACAAACAACTCAGTAGCAAAACAAAATAAAACCCACAAGTAATCTAATTATAAACTGGGCAAAGGACAAGACATATAAATTAACAACAGATATATGAAAAGGTGCTTAATATTACAAGCCATCAGGAAAATGCGAACCAAAATTATGATGAGCTATCACTTCATATCTTTTAGGATGACTACTATAAAAAATAACAAATGTTGGCAAGAATGTGGAGAAGACATAATGCTAAGTGAAATAAACCATATACAAGAACAAATACTACATTATTAAATATACATTATATAATTAGTATTATTATTAATACTTATATTATTATTAATAATACTAATTATATAAGTGGTAACTTATATAATTAACCTAATTAATCTAATATAATTAATCTATTAATTTTAGATTAATTAATTAATCTAAAGTAGTCAAACTCATAGAAGCCAAAAGTGGAATAGTGTTTTCAGGGACTGGAAGGGAGAGGAGAACAGGGAAGTATTAGTTAAAATGTATAGAATTTCAATTACACAAGATGAATAAGAAGTCCTAGAAATTGACTCTATAGTATAGCGCCTATAGTTAAGATTGCTGTATTAATACTTACCTGGTAGGGGCGATACCATGATCATGAAGGCTGTTTTCCCAGGGTGAGGCTTATCCATTGCACTCTGGATGTACTTACCCCTGTGATTTCCCCAAATGTGGGAAAATTGACTGTATAATTTGTGGTAATGGGACTGTGTTTGTGCTTTCCCCTTAAAAAAAAAAAAAGAATGCTGTATTCTATACTTAATAATTTGTTAAGAGGCAGATCTTATGTTAAGTGTTCCTATAATAAACACACAAAATGCTAATAATTAATAGAGAGAGTTGGAGGAAACTTTCCAAGATGATGATGGATAGGCCTATGGCATGGATTGTGGTGATAATTTCACTGGTAAATCTTTATCTTCAAACTCATTTACATGTTTGCAAATCTCAATGAACACCGAACAATATAAACAAAAGCAAACTATACCTACACATATCATAATTAAATTACTGAAAATCAATGATAAAGGGGGGCTTTTCTTCCCTGCAGGCCTACCTTGTGGTTTTCAACTGCAAGAAAGCAATCTAGCTGTTCAAACATGAATCTGGGCAGGAGGAGAGGGCAGGGGCCTCTATGAAGTCTTTGAATCAAGACTGGTGAATTAATACATTAATATGAATACGTTAATATATATGGTTTTGGTATGTCAATCATACATCAATAAAGTGGTTAAAAAGGAATTTTTATATTTACATTCATACTTACCATGTCCTGTGGCCTTTGTGTATGTGTGTGTAGATCTGGATTTTAATTATTTTTTTAGCCTCAAGAAATTAGCGGTGAAGGTGTGATGACAAAAATTTTTCTAATTTTAGTTTGAAAATCTGTTTAGATAATATTTATTTTTGAAGAATGTTTTTATAGGATATAGAATTCTAAGTTGATAGTTATTCTCTCTTTTACCATTCATTCCCTAGCAGTTTAAAGATGCTGTTCCACTGCCTTCTGGTTTGTGTGGTTTCTAATGAGACACCAGCAGTATTATATAAATGTGTGTGTGTGTGTGTGTGTGTGTAGTTGTAATTTGAGTGATTGTGTTAACTCTAAATTTTTTATCATTGATTTTTCAGTAATTTAATTGTGATATGTAGGTATAGTTTTCTTTGTTTATATTGCTTGATGTTTATTGAGATTTATAAACATGTAAATTTATACTTTTCATCCTATTTGGAAATATTTTATCATTTTTCCTTAAAAATTTTTAATTTAAATATTGTGCCTCACCCTCTTTTCTGGTCCTCCCATTATACATATATTAGGTTTCATGATTTTTGTCTCAAAGGCTGCGGAAGTTCTCTTCATTTTGTTTCTAGCATTTTCTCACTCCTTAACCTGCAGTTTGGATAATTTTTATACCAGTCATCACATTCTTTGATTATAAAGTATTTAATCAGCTATTAAACTCATCTAGTGAATTCACTTCAGCTCTATGTGTTTTATTTCTTCCATTTTCTTTTTTATATTTTCCATTTTCTTCCTTATTATGTTCATGTTAAAAAAAATCTTAGGCCAGGTACAGTGGCTCATGCCTGTAATCCCAGCACTTTGGGAGGCCAAAGTGGGCGGATCACGAGGTCAGGAGTTTGAGACCAGCCTGGCCAATATGGTGAAACCACATCTCAACTCAAAATACAAAAATTAGTCAGGTGTGGTGGCATGCACCTGTAGTCCCAGTTACTTGGGAGGCTGAGGCAAAAGGATTGCTTGAACCTGGGAGGTGGAGGTTGCAGTGAGCCAAGATCAGGCCATTGCACTCCAGACTGGGTGACAATGTGAGACTCTCTCTTAAAAAAAAACAAAAACAAAAACCTTAGGCAATATTTATCTTAGCTGTTTAAATTCCTTGTCTAATAATTCTATCATCTCTGTTATTTCTGAGTATAGTGCTATTGACTAATTTTTTTCTTCATTTTGGGTCAAATTTCCTTTTCATTTTTGTCTAGTAATTTTTAATTGGATTCTGGGCACTATATATGTTATCAAAGGTCGGGAATTACAAATCTATAATCCCAATGCTTTGGGAGGTCAAGGTGGGAGAATTGTTTGAGGCCAGGAGTGTGAGACCATCCTGTGCAACACAGTGAGACAACATTTCTACAGAAAAAGAAAAAAAATTAACTAGGCATGGCAGTACGTGCCTGTCATCCCAGCTACTTGGGAGGCTGAGATAGGTCTATTTTTGCCTAGGAGTTCTAACCCACATCGAGCTATGATTGCACCATTGCATTCCAGCATGGGTGACTGAGTAAGACCCTAGCTCTAAAAAAATAGTTATATAAAATAAATATTGTTGAATGTTTGTTTTCTTCTTTTAAAGAGTGTTATAGTTTGTACTGCTAGCCTGGCAATTTATTTATAGATTCATTTGATTATTTCAAGACTTGTTTTTAAGCTTTGTTAAGGCATATTAAAAAAAGACTTTATTTTAGGGTTAATTTCTCCTCACCACTAAGGCCATGAAACTTCTAAGGCACTGAGTATTCAGTGAAGTCCTTCCACCATGATTGGTTGAATCTCACATGTCTAACCCTCATCAAGTTCTGTAGTTGTTCGGCTTTTACCTCTTCAGTAGTTTTTCCTTATATTTATTCTTTGCTTGGGTTTGTGAAGTTTCAAATATTTATTCATGTTCAGTCTATTACTTTTACAGATGAACTAGAAGACATCCCTATGAAGTTTTCTGGAGCTCTTTCTTTACACAAATTCCACCTTTTTGGTAGTCTGCCCTGCAGATCTCAGCTGCCTCAGCTTCCTTGAATTCTCAACCCTGCTCTTCTACTTAGTGAGAATGCTATGCCCTGCTTGGATTTGCTGTCTTTCCAAACTGGAGTCTAATAGATACTTCCAGGTAGAGAGGTTGGGTTATCTTTGAGCTCAATTAATTTGTTCTCCTTCTCTAAGGGATTACTGTCCTTGGCATCTTGTTCGATGTATGAAAACAGCTGTTTCATATGTTTGGTCTAGTTTTTAAAAGTGTTTATAGTGTGACGGTTAGTCCACTAGAATTACTTGCTATGCCTGGTTACTAAATTCTTCCACAATATTAGAATAAAAATTTGAAAGTGTAGGCCCCAAAAGACGATTTATTCAGAATTGGAGAGACTCTAGATAGTTGAAAACCAAGGAAGGCAGCATGAGAAGTGAAGTAAGAGGAATTTCCTGTAGCAGAAGTTAAACGTGAATTACATATCCTAGTTATGTGTGTGGTTATTAGTGTGAGTTTTATTGCTAATGTTATTGATATTATTTTCTTGTCATCTCTTGGAACACTCTTAATCAAATATTCTTTTGTTTTTTTTATCAACTGCACCTTTCTTCTTCTATTGAAGAAGGCATGGTACTCTATCTTAAAAATCAAATGAAACAAATTTGATCACCAGTAATATGTAATTTACATATTGCTTATATTATTTCTTTGACCATCTTAGTTTCCTAAGATTTGGTTCCTATTTCATAATTTTACTGAATCTACCTGCCTAAGAGCATACTTAAATTTCCTTCTTGTTTTTCAAAATCAAAGGGATTTTTGTATTCATTTTTATGAACTATAATAGTCCAGACTGCTGACTACCCTGTTTTTGGAGCTCTCTTTTCTCTTTCTTTTATAACATTTCACTGTCTTCTTATAACATTTCTTTGTCTTCTTCTTCCTTCTTCTCCTTGTCTTTTATTCCTGGAGGTGGGGATCTCTCAGTTTATGTTCACTTATTCTTTCTTTTGTATAAGGCTAGCCAGTCCCATTAACGACCAAAATATACTCAATTAGGTATCTTGTTAAAATGAGAGTCCTGTTTAATGTGTAGAATAAAATTATACCACCCTATTGAACTCATTTATATGTTTTGATTAGATAATCCTTTTGTGATAATATTCAGCAAACTTTCACCTATTTTGTAATATTTGGATATTTAAATATAATTGTTAGATCATATATGTTGATGTAATTCAGGTCCAGGAGTTTCAACAGAAATGAACTTAAAGCCCATTCATAATTAGAGCATTTATAAATATATTTGGAAATTGAGGTAGTCCCTGAATGAAGTGACTTGTAGGGAAGCACTCTGGAAGCTGATGGAAAAACCATATGTGAGATAGGGTTTAGATCTGTGTGCCCACAAATCTCAGGTTGAATTGTAATTCCCAATGTTGAAGGAGCAGCCTGGTGGGAGGTGATTGGATCATGGGGATGAATTTCCTCAATGTTGTTCTTGTGTTAGTGAGTGAGTTCTCATGAGATACACTTGTTTACTGGCACTCGCTAGGCACAGTGGCTCATGCCTGTAATCAGCACTTTGGGAGGCTGAGACAGGCAGATCACTTGAATTCAGAAGTTCAAAACCAGCTTGGCCAATATGGTGAAACCCCATCTCTACTAAAAAATACAAAAATTGGCCAGGCATGGTGGCACCCCCTGTAATCCCAGCTACTTAGGAGGCAGAGACAGGAGAATCACTTGAATCCAGGAGGCAGAGGTTGCAGTGAGCTGAGATTGTGCCACTGTGCTCAAGCCTGTGTTGCTATTCACTTGGGGTGGTTGGCAAAAATTACAGAAAATATTAAGGGAAAGTTATAGATTGTAATCTCAAATCTTTTGGAAGGCCAAAAGGTTTTATTGAGGCAGGTTGAAGGCAGCCACCTCATTAACATTAGCAAAGGAAAGAGATAGAGATGACCAAAGGCCTTACCCCACATCCCTTCGTTTCCACTGTTTACTCAGGTAAACTTTGTGCTGGATGGCTCTCTCTGTGGGAGGTCAAAGGGGAATTACCTGTTAATAGTGTTTACTCTGGGCCCAGAACCTAAAGTTTTTGTTATTCATATAACCACTCTTTTAACCATGTTAATTATCCACAAGTGTGTTCACTTAGAACCTCTGTTGTAAAATCCTGAGAGAGTAAATGTGTGGATGGACAGAGGGTCTGTGTTGATTGGTTGCATTTTGCCCTCTGAAAGCAGCCAATGACCATCCCTAGCCCACTTAAAACAATGTAACGGTGTGAGAGTGCATTCATTCATCTGTCGTTGAGTCAGGGTCTGCAGGTCAGACTTCTGCAGACGGTGACCGACATCTCAAGTCTACAGAGGGAGACTCTGTCTCATAAAAAAAGGGTGTAGCAGTTCCCCAGTCTCTCTCTTCCTTCTGCTATGGCCACGTAAGATGTGCCT